CTAATCCGTACACAATACAATACTTAATGTAGAAGAGCCGCTAAAATTATATTGAATAGTAATAGTGATCGGACGCAGAAGATACATTTAAAGATGCATAGACGAGACGATGGCACAGCTGAAAAAACTGAACATGGTACAGAAGTAAAAATGTTGCTATACCTGTTTTACTCTTAGTGATTGTAGTTAGTGCATATGGAATGGGACAGTAGGTTAAATGTTGCTTTAATGCCCTAAAAACCATTTGTAATCTGTCTTCTCTACTAGTAGAATAGGTTGACTATTACAACACATATGTATTCTGTTAATTTACGTCGCTCTTTTGGGTCTCCCAACTGGGCTGTGGAGTGTGGAAGATGTGGTTACTAGCCAGGACAGCCAACGTTTTAATAAAGTGTGCATCGGATTTGGGGAAATGTTTTTGAGCGTCGACCCAGATAGGGTAACTATGGAGACACAGAACACACATGAAGGAGAAACCGACATATCTGCAGCTTCACCTTTCGGTTTAGCATATTCCTTTATGAAAGTGCAAGTCTTATGTGATTAATCTGATTAGCTTCAGCATTAGTTTCATTATTAGCATTAGTTGTTGGTTTGTTCCAGTCTGAACTGAGATTTTAAAACAGATTTCCAGGGCCCAGTTGTCTCATCTTGTACGACCACAGCAATATTTTATTTGGGTGACATGGGATAAGGAAGCGTCTATCTTTGGCACTACATTTGAAGGAAAACCCGTTATTTGTTTTTAATTGGATGCAAGAAGCGGGTTTGCTTTTTTTCTGAAAGCATGCTGTTAAATAGCTTTGCAAACGAGAAAGTGGGAGGAGTTTCCTTGATCATCACAGCAAATAAAAACAGGGACTTCATCGAACATTCATTTACGCGTTGTACACATCATGTAGGGAAAAAATAAACCCATAGAAAATGTACTTAGTTGTTATTTCCGTAAGAGATCACTCTCAGTTACATTATAGTCCTCGGCTCTATCTACTGCAGGACGCAAACGAGTCCGTTCTTCAAAGTCTTGTGCTTGAGATTTTAATGTGGAATGGTCGCTGCGACTACACACACATACGGGTAATGAGTAATGTCAAAAGTCTGTGGCCGAGATTTGAAAGGATTTCTCTATGATATGGTCAAAAACAACAACTGATATGTCTTGTCTGAAAGAGCTATTCACTGCGATACGTGCAGAAGCGCACAGTACGCAACAAAGTCCACCACACCGTCGCACAACCGAGTCCTCGCCATCGGACGCTTATACGAGCTACTACGTGTACAGTAAGATTAATACCCTACGGTGCTGAGTGCTCTTTATACTATTGGATTCCGAAGCGCGAGAAACGACTGTGGAGGAGCCAGAGATAGAGAGATGAGGAGTTTCCAGATCTCCTTGATTGTCCGTTCTGAGGGCCGGGTACTCTCATCCACTTCCCTTTAGTGGAGCACATGTAGAAGGACTGGGTCTTGCCGTTTTAGCGCGCTCTCTTGTGTGGCAGGACAGGCGTGCTTGCTGGAGGCGATAAGGCAGGATGAAACTTGATGCAGTCCCACGCACCTCCATGGTGGCCCAGTCCTAGCCGTCACTCTGAGGCAGCTCAGGTTCTCGTGAGACTTTAAAGAGCCGTGCTTGGATAACCTACATGGGACAGAGGGCAGGAAGAAAGACAAGGCATAAACAGGATCAGAGAGATATTGTTTTTTTTACTGTACTTTGACTTATTGTTGAACTAAACATGTAAACATGGGTAACACAATTCTGTGTGTCAGGGTGACCTTATTCTAATTAACAAAGAAGGGTATTTTTTCTCCTAACATGTAGTGGTCCTAGTCATTTGAATTGATTCATTTGTTTGGGTTGTCGTTTTTCCTTTTCTTTCTATCCAGCATTTGGGATAAATCAACACTTTTTGAATAAAGATTAGGTAATACAATATATGCCCCAGCATTTTATGAAATTATGATAAAAAACAAATAAATACCTCTGGTCCCTTTGTACAAAACAAAAATATGCAAACTGTGCTTCTGTATCTCCGAAGACAAAAATGTAAATGTAAATTCAGTTCAGGGAAATTGGACAGATATTTAATTTCAAACAACCAGGGCTTTGTGGAAATGAGGCGTTTGGGGCAAATGTACTAATATCATGCTAACTCTCAACAGGATAATTAGTTGTACATAAGAACTTCCTGCCAGAATGAATATGAGTGTGCTTAGCTCTTACTTGGATATGGTCTTGTGCAGGCCGTGGCGCTGTGGGCTGCTGGAGGACTTCTCTGATTTGGCAGCAGCTGTGGCTCCAGAGGCTTTTCCAGCTCCTATAAAAGCCCCCTTTTTTTCTGCTTTCAAAGTGGGAGGCGCTGCGGCCCCTCCCTCTGCTGACGGTCCCGGCCCTCCAGCCACAGAGAACCCTTGTCCTACGTCAGCAATGGCATTCACCCGCTCCCTGGGAAGGGTGTTAGTCGAGCCAATGGAGTAGATGGGCAAGCTGGAATAAGGTTTGGACGGCAGCCGCATCTGTTAGAGAGACCAGATAAGAATGTAATTAAGTAAAAGCTTAATAGTTACTGAGAAAGAATACTGATGAGGCCTACATGTTTTAAGGAATTCACATGTTACATCTACTTGAATAGGCATCTTTAACTATTATAATCATACAAAAGATAGCTTTAAGAACATCAGAAATACAATATGGTTGCATACACAGTTTAAAGCCTGTCAGGCACAACATAACAATGGCACCACTGCTCTGTGAAACCCATTATTTATTGTAAATAATAGCTTTCAGAGAACAGTGGGAATGCCCTAAGCATCTTTTTGAGCAGCGTTTGTACTAAGGTTATTATTATTTTTTAATATATTAGGGACTCACTAGTGTATCTTAAGGCCATAGAAGAGTTGTTAGATAAAGTCAGTTTTTGGATATCACCACATTATTGTCAGTTGCCTAATTAGATCTTATAGTGGATCAAGTAAATGCTGCTCTGACAGCTGATTGGCTGATCGATTCATTCAAGCTGACTCACCTTTTTGCAGCACTGTGCACACACAGGCCTGCATGGAGAAAAAAATGAAGGGAGTGATGAATAAAAACAGTCAAGCTTACTTTCTAAATACTTTTTCAAACAATGCAAGAGATGAAGATAATCATGTAGGTTGTTTTACTTTTTGCAAAACTGGCAGATGTAGGACCAGGTGAACAGGGAAAACCTTTTGGTTCGACAACAGAAGCAGAGCTGCAATAAAAATAAAAGATGATGTTAGAAATCAAGAATGGTACAGCAGGTTACAACTGATTCAATACAGTGTTTTTTTTCCTACTGATAATGATGATGGGGCAGCAGTTACCTTTCCCTTCTTCATGGCGTTGTAGACCTCTTTGTACTGCTGGAACTTCTCCAGCTCTGCCTTTACCAGCACCTGTCTGATGTGCATCACCTCCTCCACCGTCAGAGAGAGACACTCCACAGGGAAGCAGAACTCCTCCTATAAGGAAAAAATATACACACAGTTACACACAGTTACACACACACAGAACAGTGAGTGATCCTGGCCACAGCACATCGAACACAGTGTTTAACATTCAGCGCACACACAGCCACCCCTCTGCTTCTTTAGAGCAGCCTGTGAGGGTCCACACTACATTTGGGTCATAACAATGTTCTCATTGTTCAGTGAAGATTCAGAGGGAGAGATTAAAACCGATTTAAACACACCAGTATGAAAAAACATAGGTATTTATTTGTTTTTTATCATATTTTCATAAAATGCTGGGGCATATATTGTATTCAGCGGGAGAGATGGAAAGACGTCATGGCAACAGAGCTACTCACAAACAGGGCAATGATTGTAATAAATGACCATTCCAAAGTGATGGATTTGTTTTTTCCCCAATTTATATTTTTTGTATTTATGTTTATGCCCATAATCAAAAATCTTTATTTGTTTTTAATTGTAGCAGGGCTGCAGCAGTTTTGTAGCCGGGTGGTTCCATGTGAGGCAGTTTAACCAAAACGTCCTGGGTTCTATTCCAGACTTTTGACCTTTCTTGCATGTCAAACCACATCTTATATTGGCCCGATTATGCTTTTTAGGGTTTTCCTTTTCCTGTAGTGTGTTATAAAGGTACTGTATCATTGCATGTAAATGGTCTGCAAAGGCCCTGTGTTCCCTCCAGAGGGAGTTTCTCTCCAACACACCTCCCCCCCTGCCTGAAACGCCTCCATTGGACTCCTTTGTTTACTTCGGTAACATAGTGACACACTGTGTAACACTCACGCTTCTATTGGCTAGCAGTGTAAAAAATTGTACGTGATAGGCTAAGGGGCGGGACGTCTCTAAGAGGTTGACCAATCACAACAGAGCCGTCCAGCCAACCAATCAGAGCAGACTGGACTCTGGTTTCAACAATAATATTAATTATTGAAAATGTGACAAATGAAAGCCACAGCTGTGTGGGTTGTGTTTGACTTGCTATACTGTGACTGGTGGAAGCATTGTGCTTTGCTTTGCATGTTTTTTTTGTCTGCACAATGTATCGTTATTTTCAGGAAAGGTTAAATATAATTAGTTTTGCGCTAGATTTTTTCGCTGCCCGTCATTTGGACGGACAGGATCGTAAACTGTCCGTCAAAATCCATTATTACCCGTCGGTCTACAGGTACACAACTTACAGGGAGGGGGTTGGGGGCGGGGCGGAAGAGCACGCTCGTGAACTGTCAACGGGGGGGGGGGGCCTCGTGAAATATTAGAGCCGGTGTTATGCCGTGTTGTGCATGCCCACTGCACCTCGCGGGAGCGCGCCACAGCGTAAAGCATAAACTCCCAGACATTTCAATGATTTGTACGGCATAGTTAGGTCTGGAAACGACATAAGGGCATAACACCGGAGCCCTGCTGCGGGGAAACTTTGGCGCTGTTCTGAGTTTGTTCTAATCCGTCAAACGGACGGACTGCTTTCAGATTTTTCCGTCATTGTCAAAAGAATTCCGTCATAGACGGAATATATTCGGTTAACGCGACCTCTCTGACTATAGAAAGCTTCTTTTGTTTCGTTCAGTAAACACAGTGTGCTGCTGTTTTCCTGTCTGTAGATACAGTCTGCCTGCTATCCCTTAGTACTGTATCAGTTACGTTATCTCCGCAAAGCACAAGCCTGAGGGGGATCATGTGTTTTTTGCCGTGTGTCCCTGTGTGTCCACAGCTAATCTCTCATACTATTGGACCTATCAACCTTATATTATTCGTGCACATATCTGACTGTTGCTATGTAACCCAACCAGAGGCATCAGACAACTTCAGAATATTATTAAAATCTTGAGAGATATTTGAAAAGGCTTCTAAACAGTGCCTACATACAGTATCGTTAAAACCACACAACAATGTCGAGATCTTAAAATACTTTTTATTTCTAACGTATCTCACCACCACCTGTTAAATATCATTTGTTCAATACTAGAGTAGATTTCAAATGTATTTTAGTTAAGACTACACCTAATTGTTTTAGTGTGTTAAAATGAAAGCAGTGAAGTAAACAATGGATAAATAAATGATATTGTTCACTGGTCACATGTCATGATACCTCAGAGATAAAGCAGTATGTCCCTAGTCTATAATGGCAGAAACCTACTCTACAGGTGAATGATGTTTAGTGAAGAAGGAAGCACGAGGAGAGGATGGGCAGCTAGAGTTATTATACCAGGACGGACAGGGGGAGACTGGCAAAGCTTGGCCGACTCTCTTCCTCTGAGGTAAACTGCCCTACACAGAGAAAATACTGCCTTCATCCACCCCAAAGCAAACGCCTCCATAGGGTGTGAACTCTGCAAAGGGTGGAGAGTGGAGGGAGAAGGGCAGAGAGAGGAGGAGGAGGAGGAGGAGGAGGAGGAGGAGGAGGGGGAGGGGATTCCGGGGCGATATGAAGCTATCATCCCAACCTGAAGGGAGGAAGGTTCCTGGAGCTTGATAAAGTCACACCAGGGGAAAATGTGAGAATAGACAGTAGATCTGGTCAGATAGAAAAGACGAGGGAAGAAATCCAGTATCCAAGTATGAAAGAGATTAAAGTGAGTAGTTTCATCTACTCCTCATTTGCTTTTCTGTAAAGATAATGATGATTTGTGGCCATGTTTTAGTGCAGTTCTTCATGAAGCAACTGAAGCTGGGCTCGGTTTAGCATGCGAACAAGAGAAAATAGTTTCCTTACAGATCAAGTTTTTTCAGAACTATTGGTTTACTACCATATATACACAGTATATAGCATTTTACAAACACTTTCTGCTTATATCATGTGCAATAATAATAACAATGTACAATATTAACTTGCAATTATGTATCTGCCACTATGTTTATTTTTGCACTATTACTTTTTGTGACTGTCCCGGCTGTTCGTTTAATTTTCATGTATTTAGTTCTTGTTTCTTTCATATATATCTTTTGTGAATATTCAGGTGGAAAACTGACTTTTTTTTGACTGGCTACACTTTCTACAGAGTATGTTCTAATACTGTCTCATAGTGTCACACTATGTGATTTTGTTAAATAAAAACTTTTACTGCACCTTTGGACAGCTTTAAAATGATAGAACACTTATTCTGCTCATTCAACACGTTTTGTGTTTTTATTCAATCTTCTGAAGTGGGACTAACCAGAGACTTAGAGCTCTTCTTAGAAGGCGGCTGAAACAGTCGGACGTTGGTCGGGGTTTCCTTCTCGATGGAGTGTCTCCTCTGGGGGGTCTTACGCCTCTCTGGCTGGGGTGTTGAAGAGATGGGCAGGAACATGGGGGGAGCTGGTGTTCATAGAGGAAAGAAAGGGAAATGAGAGAAGATGAGGCTGCTTTACTCGAAATATTCCATCGATTGGTTAATTCAAGGTTCAAGACATTTCCGTAATAAACATGGCAGAGGAGGTTGCTAGATTAAACCCATTGATCACTGTCGGTGTGCTGAGGTGTGAAGGGGACGTAGAAAGATTCCTGACTCACTTTTCTTCCCCACAGCACACTCTGGGGATGTATCATCCATCAAAGACGTAGCCACGCTGGAGCTGCTGGCGGACTTGTGCCCAAATATGTCATCCTGAATGCATGGAAAATACAAACACTTCAGTCATCATTTGCTCTGCACATGCTGGATGTTATTTCTAAAACACATCCTACACAAACAGACTGATACTGACGTCAGAGTCAGAGCTGTCCAGCTCGGAGAGGCTGGGGGCCTTCAGGAGCCTCTTCCTCTGAGGAACAGACTGGGATCCCGAGGGTTCTCCCCTGGAAGATGTGGACCCGTTGGTCAGAGACAGAGTGCTGGACGTCCTCCTGCCCATGTATGGACTAAACTCATCTGCAGAGCCACACACAACAGAGTTATTCAGACAGAAGGAGGGAAAACACTTGACATGGATCTCAAAACAATTCCTCATATTACTCCTTGCATCCAATTGAATTCTTTAAATCTATTTTAACCGATCAGCCCCGAAAAAGGGGAAACCATTTTCAAAGTTTATTCGGTAGATGCAATAAAGCCTATTCAGGATTGAGGTGTGAGATCCATCCCAAGGTTATATAGGTCAGGATAGGTGAGTTAAGTTGGTCTGAGGGGAGGCAGAAGAGCAGGCTGGTGTTACACAAAAAGCATGGATGACTCTTTTTTTGAATATTATTTTCAGGGGATGCGCTGAATCCTTAAAATCCACAAGGTCATTCTGCATCGAGAGAGGAGTCGTCCAGTGATAAAAGTAGAATTGATAATAACCAAACACCTAACAAGCTGCCTGACTCTAGCTGTAGTTTCAAAATGGTTAAGCTGAAAAGAGGGGTTTAGAGGGAGGAAGTAGAGGAGGAGAATTGGAGTGCTGCAAAAGACAGATTAAGACCTGCAGCTGATCTACGGGAGCACTGAAACCGCTCTCTTCCTATTTCTATTCTGGACTAGGACCCACTTTTCTACTTTTCTACGACCTAAGAGACTACATCTTTAGGCTTTGTACACTTGTGTCCTGCCCAGGCTTTAGTATTGAAATATTGAAATAGAGGATATATTAGTTTACAGCCAGGGAGGCAGACAGACAAGGCCATTGGTTAAGGGTAAACAAGGCCTTCCAAACCAGAGCAGTGCTGATACCTTACCTACTCCAGTACGGAACAAATCCTGAGGCATACTGCGAGTTTTGCCAAAACCTAAAAGGGAACACCTCCTTCATTAGGATAGCTATAAGAATATTCCCCAATGTGGTATGTCTGTGCTGTAAGAACTCAACTATCAAAAAAAAAAATGTATGTTGAGGCATTGTGATGTTAACTTATAGTTGTGCTGCATATCATTTTTGTCTAATGCTATTTTTGATTGTAAAATGTATCTCCTTGCCCCTTCTATTTTATTGATGACTGTTTAATGTCAGAATGTGGTTTAACAAAAACATCCTTTCACCTTGATTCTATAACAAATTGATATACTTTAATACATTCATACTCACCGTCAACAAACACTGTTTTGTATTTTTATATTGTTAGCTTAGCTTAGCATAAAGACAGGTAACAGGGTGTCTTCCAACCAGCACCTTTAAAGTGCTCTAATGAACTTAATGTTGACTTACTCTATACATAAAAATAAATATTATAAGTTATATGTTAGCAATTTTTTGTCTGGGTGCAGTGACTTCCTGTAGTATCTCACATGTTACTGCCAGGAAATAGTTCCTGAAAACTCCACGTAAAACTTTAACTTTTAAAAGAAGAAGAAGAAAGCTAACAGTTTCACCATTTTGTTTGTGAAAATTTGGACAGAGCCAAGTTAGCTGCCTCCTGTCTTTATGCCAAGACAAGCTAGTATAACTCCTTCTGGTTCTAGCTTCAAACTTAGAGGGCTATTGATCCTTTCATCTAACTCTTCAAGAAAGAGAATAAGCATAATTTTTAAAATGTTGAGCTATTCCATAAATTGCCAATGCATTTAAGCACACCGTCTCCTTTTTGTCACTATGGAACAATATAATGGACCCAGAAGTGCATGATACATCACCAAAAGTGGAATCTATATCCTGTGAAATGGATTTCTCCTTGAAACGTTATTTTCTTGTTCCTGATTAAAACCTTAATCATGTCCATTAAAGTGTCAATGGGTATGTACCATTAGCCATAACATATCGAGCAGAGTGAAAAACCACACGGCTCACTCTGTGTGAGAATGATCCATCACAGAGGGAAGTCCGTACACACAGACGTTTTCGGACAGCATGAATGAGTATGCAGAAGTGATAAAGCCTGTGCTGTGATGAGAGACACTGGCAGAGTGGAGCACAGCATTATTGTGATTAGCCTGTGTCAGCAGTATTTTCTTATCGCCTCAATCAAAATTGTCTCATTAAGTCGGTCACGTGCATTTAATGTCACCGGTCTCTACAGGGAGACCGGTGCTGTGCAGAGCGTGAGGCAGCACCCTGATTCAATTCTGCAGAGTCACCTCTATGAAAGACTCTTTTGTATGACGTTGATAATTCTGGGAGACACAGATGTGGCGGTAACTCTGGCAGCTGCTCATATCAATCCCTTGATTAGATAGCTGGCTGCACACTTATGTAAGATGCACATTACGGCAGTATATTTCACAGATGACACACTGGGCTAAGGTGACACTTTTCTCCTTCCTAGTCCTGTATATTTGTTTGACAGGAGCTGTAGATAAAACAGACTGTATGAGCTGCACTTATAAGACATTATGATAATTGAGTAGGATTATAAAACCACAACGATGCCTTCCAGCTAAACTTTTACCTGCACTGAGGCAATGTCATTGCACCATTCTTAAAAAAAAACATAAAATTGAATGTAAAACTCAGCCGGATTATGTTACATCATTTGAACTGTCACTGGTCATTAATTCAGCCTGTAAACAGATAGCACCAAGAACAGAAAAGCCCTTTAGATATAGCAATCTGTCTGAGACCGTGTGATCTGTCCCAATCAGCGCGCTGAGTTTAATCTGTCCCTTCCCTTCAGTCAGATGCTGATGGGAGGTCAGGGGTTCCATCTTGTGACAAGATGTACAGGCACTGCGAAGTGTACATGTAATGAACACAGTCCATGTTGCCAACAAAATAACTGTCAACTATGGAGTTTTTTTAGCAAGGTAAGGAGATTCAAAAAGGAGGAAAGCAATGAGATGCAATGAGGTTAAAGCAAGTTTGTGCTTACAGTATTCTACTGCCGATTAGAGAAGAAGATCCGTTTTTATTTTAATTATCTAAAACATTTTTAATCGTACCATTTTTCAAACTTTTCCAAAAAAGACTAAATTAAAGTAGGCAAATAAATAATAGAATACCTACATACGTATCACACATCAGTTTTTTCTTATCAGTGTCCTCCTACTGACCAGCGTCCCACATCACCATGTTCCCCCCCCACAGATCACAGCCGACCATCACCAAACACTGAAGCATGACATGAAATGTGTGTGTTGATGCAGTGTGTGCGATGTGTGTACAGTGTGCTGATGCATGTGTGATGTGTGTGTGTGTGTGTGTGTGTGCGTGTGTGTGTGTGTGTGTGTGTGTGTGTGTGTGTGTGTGTGTGTGTGTGTGTGTGTGTGTGTGTGTGTGTGTGAGCTGGGAGAGCAGATGAGCAGCCACAACAAGAAGGTAAACAGAAAAAGGCAGATAAGCAGCGAGGTAGACTTTACCTGACGCATCAAAACTGAAAGACATGCTAAGTGGCCGAATTACTGCAACGAGAAACAGTAATGGCATTGCACAGTCATTTCTTGTTATCAGGAAGTATACTAAGGTAAGACTTACTGTGATATACTAAATATGCTTGGCAGACATGCAGGGTTATACCACGCTAATTGTCAAGTTTTAGATCACTGAAGTATAACATCATGACGGGAGATAATAGGATTTCAAATATAAGCCATAGCCAATGGTGAGAGATTACAGACATTCAAAAACAGAAGTGGCTTGTTAGTAATCAAGGAATTGCAGACAGTTAGCATTAATATTCCAAAATATAGTAGTAAACTTCAAATATAATGCAAACAGTGTAGTTATCAACAAAATAATAATAATTGTTAGTTGCAACAGAAAGATAAAAAGTTAAGCAGCATTAGCTAAAAAAGCAAAGAGCAGCGGGACAAATGATAAAAGTGTAGTAACACAACGCTACTCATTTCTCATCTGGATTCATCCCAGCAGGTGAAAGCATCAGCTCCATACTTCAGATTAAAAATGGCTTTTCAGAGTGAAGTATGTTTTGCATGTGCATGACAGTGACAGTGTGTGTGTAACATGAGGAGGACGAAGACATTTTCCTTACCCAGCCTGCCCCTGCGCATCTCGCCAGGCGACACAGGTCTGAGTTTCCTCTCTGACTTGATTTCCGATAGGATCTTCTCATGCAGGGTTGGAGGAAGCTGAGTCAGCGGCTTCAGCTTGCGAGCCGACACCTAGTGCAGGTTGATGATGGGTTAAATATAGACAGCGACAGGGAGTAAGTAGAGTGGAGAACAAAAACTGACAACCAACAAACAGGGTTCTAGCCAGAACGCCGTTTCATCACCACCTCCTCATCCCTCCTGTGACTGATTGTTCATCTTATTCTATAGGGTCGAGTGCCCTGCTGAAACTGCGCCTGCTAGATCTGCAGCGAGATTAATATCAACAGAGATCTGATGAGAGAAGCATTTTACTGAGTTCACAGTGCAGTGAAACTGTCATTTGGAAGCTACAGCATACATTTTTTAAAGAGGCTGGACTAGTTATTAACATACTCTTTTTTAATACAGAATAATTACAATTTACATATGATGGTTTTATAGAAATGCTGTAACCTATGTTTGAATGTAATTCCAATAAATTAGAGTCTACAAAATGTTTTCTTACTGTGGTCAATATAATATTTAACAAGGACATTTCTGTTTATTTTAACATATCCTATACACTAAATTTGGCAATGTGGCTTTTTGGGTTGCAATAACTTTGGACTCGCCAACACCATTTTAGGGGTTGGGGAAACAAGTCACAAAATAAGGTATATCCTGTTGAAATACACAAACTTTGTATAGCTTTTCAAATAAACATGTTATTTTAAACTCTTGGTGTCTGAGTCTGATGAGAAAGTAAAAGCTGTAGAATTAAGAAATACAAAATAATATCCTAGCATGACTGCTTTGAATGTCTTGTTTTTTCCAAATGTTAAAGTTGTTTAATTAATAATGATGTGAAGACTGAATCAGCAACGATTTTAAACCAGATTTTTAATATCCAAAACTGTCTCCAAAATACGTTCTTTCAACAATCAAATGATAATCTATGTATCTGTTTCTGCAAAATGATCAGCAATGCCAAATAGCTCATAGTGGCCATGTAAGGCTGGGATTCTTGGGAAACACCCAAGGAAGTAGCGGTGTTCTCCATTAGATTTTGGTAACTGTGCGTCTGAACCTTTACACAACATACATTTACAAGTTTGGTGAAATATTGTTGTATCTATCTCACCAGCATAAGGTCGGGAACCACAAAAACAGGGTGCGAGATGATTTACAGAATGAGACTGCAGTAAACAAACTTTAGGACCAATCATATTATTTTCTTGCCAATTACTTGATAATTTAACCTCTTTGATCCTCTGAATTGTGTTCAAGAAGGCAAAACATTATTTGGTTGAACTGGTCACAACTGATGCTCATATGATCTTAGAAGGGGTCAGCCAGTCAAAGATTGGAAACCTCGGTTCTGGCTGAATGTTTTCAGAATCAGAATACCTTTCTTCGTCCCACAGAGGAAGATGTACATTGTTACAGCAAGTGAAGAGTGCAAAGATAGATTAATATAATATGTAAAATAAAAGTAGAAATTACATAATTTACAATTTACCAAGTACAAAATACACATCCAGTACCAGGACAGTTTTGAGATAGCAGCCAGGTGAAAGTATTAAAAGTGGAAGTATATATTGCACAGCTATTTACGGTATTTATGTTTATATGTGTGTGGGGGTCTACCAGGGGCCGTGATGGTTATACAGCCTGACCGCTGCAGGAAGGAAGAACCTGCGGTATTTCTGAGGCTGTAAGGAGTGGTTGTGATATTTGAGTCAATGCTCTTCAGTTAAACTTACAGGGTTGAGGGGTGGTCTGGACCTGATGAACTCCAGGATGACTTCATGAGCGCTTTTCTTTAACCTGGGTGGGATGTCTCCATGTAGCTGAAAGAACAGCAAAGGATGAAATATACTATACGAGAAAGGTACAAACAGTCACAGTACTTTGTAGAAAAATCTGGACTCATACTATCAACTTCAATTATTTGTTTTGTTAAATAACCAATTGAGATATAAACAGTTTTGTTGCTTCCGTATTTTCAGCAATGCCAAATAGCTTATTGTTGCCTCTGGCACTATTTTCCTTGGGGTTTTGTCAATAGTGAGTGCTTTTGGCAGCATTTTATGAGTGTTAACCTGCCAAGCAACTGGAGGTGGAATATGGAAGCCTCAAAGGTGACAAATGAAAGTGCCTGCCCCCATTATATCCCCAAATAAATATAAGTCAAGCACTAAAGAGCATCCCCCCATCCCACAGTTGTTATGCAACAGTGTTGTAAGTAATTTTTCCAAGCAATTTCCCATAGGACTGGAACAGTGGTACAACAGAAGTACAGCAAGCTGGAGGTGTGCTTGAATGTGGCAGCGATTTCTATTTGTGGTGGAATCTGGACACTGACCATGACTTTGCGCAGGTTGTAGCGTTTGGACTTAATGTCGTTCATTAGCATCTCATAGGGGGTGAGCTGGAACTCGATGGGCAGGGGGTTATACTGACGATCCTGCACCTTCTTCAGCTTGACTCCTTCACGCAGGCCCCTCATCACCTGAACCCAGAACCGAGCCTGACGGAGGGAACAAAGGGCAGCATGGGAATTGTGAACTATATAATACCATAACCATTTGACTATGACTTTATTTGGACAACAGCTCTGACCTTGTGCACACAAAGTAAGGAGGGTTCATCAAGGTGTAAAATCCATTCATACAGATTTATTTATGTGTTCATGCAGTTATGGAGAATCTTTAATATGAAACCTAAGAAAAGTCCCAGCTGGATGTCAGAGGTCAGGAGTCTAGTTGCTTACCCAGTCATCTGTCTGTAGTTCATCCAGGTCTTTGCCAGGCCCCTCTGATGACCCTTCCTCCATTTTACGGAGGTTCTGTTGGAAAGAGAGGGAGAGTATGAATATGAAATAAGAACACTAACTGTTTGAATCTTTAGCCATGCTAGTGGTGTTGCCTAAGGGATGGCGGATTTCAGATGGCAGTCATTTGGACCAAAGGGAAAAATGTTAACAACTATTGGATGGATAGCCATGACATTGTTGCAATCGCTAGTTTCAAGTATTCTTCAAAACAGAATGATATTTGTTTTGTAAATTATGTTTCCCTTAACAGAAAATAGACAAAAAAGAAAGGTTATGCTTTAGGCCAGGTCACTTCCACCGTATTGCTCATTTTTCAGTTGTAGTGAAGGAATTGTTAATTTCTTCCAGTGAAAACATTTTGTTTTGAGCATGTTTTTTGCTAGTCAAATTAGCATTGCAAACTTTGCTAAGCAAGCTAACGTTTGCTATGCTAACAGTACCCCGCCCCAATAAGCCTGGTCTTCCCAAGCTCCACCCTCTTGTCCAAATATGGTCACTTGTCCCCCTAAAAAACAATATGTTAATAGACAAACTGGTTGTCCATAAATTAAATGGTGACGTTTTATTTGTTATAAACTGATAGCATAGCTATAGACTGAATTTCATTTAGTTGATTACATTTCAGAGTCTTGGTAGTGTGCATGCTGGCACTGTAAATATACAGTCTATGGTTAGTAATGACACAACCACTCTCTCACTATCCACTAGTTTTTAGGAATTTGGGGATTTAATATGTCTTACAATTCTTTATTTGTTTAGCTAGTTAGCTAGCTGTGTTTGTACAATAATCACAACAGCCTCACAGAGCTGCTAGCATGTTCTAGACTTAAACAGTGATATTAGCCTTAAAACAAAGAGAAACTTCATCACATATTCAGAAGAAAAATAACACGAACCTGACAGAATCCCTAACGCTTAACAGAAAGCAAGCAACAGCGGTAATTCAAGTTTAAAAGTCTCAAAAATGCTACAACTACTGTCACAAACTAGATGAATGTGAAGCATTTTGTTAAAGGAGGACGAAAGCGTAATTAAGGAGCACTATTGGAGTGACTTTGATGGTTATTGGACTCAGGATTAATTCATTTGGATGCCCGCTGTATGAAGAAATTAAAGGACGGCGCAAGTGGGAACAATTCACAAAGGAATTAAACTGTTTAAAACACATGCTCAAAGTAAACCGGATTTTGCCGATGTGTTTATGTGGATTCAAAAGACGTAAATAATCTACAAAATGGAGGAGACCGATCTGATCGGAGCAACTGTGACAAATAATCCAACTGAAACCGGCATGGACAATGACTATGTTTTAAAAATGCGCTTATACAGACAAGCCTTGTTTGGACACTTTATGGGCAGAAGAAACATTTCTATTAAAGAAAGAATTATAAATGTCTGTCTTTTTATGCCTTTAATAGCTACTAACTTGAATTGCACTAGAGCAGGGGTTCCCAAACTTTTCCCAAAGCCCGCGACCCCCAAAATAACAGTGCCAGAGACTGGCGACCCCCTGTCGATGGGGGGGGGGGAGATTTTTTTTAAATAATTTTTATTTTTTTACTTTTCCATTTTTATTTTGTAATCATCTCGCGACCCCCACTTTGGGAACCCCTGCACTAGAGCAATGAAGAGAAGGAAATTAAATGTAACAAAAATTGTGTTGTGAATTTAAAGATAAAGGCAGACCTAAACTATATCCCTCTGGTTAATACATGAAGCGAGATACTGATAAGACAATCACAAGGAGTCTGCCCAGCCGACAGCAGCATAAGACCCCATCCCACCGGGGAAATCACAATTCACCATCATCCTGCTAGGAGAACAGCTGCCTTGACCGGACTGCAGGCTCCATGTAACAGCTATATAATATCACTCACAACATAATGCATTTTGCGGCATCATAACTCTGTATGCCCACAATGCATACACAGTGGTATGAGTGGTGCGTGTTGAAATCAGATCAAAGCCACATATCTCCATTTCAAAAGGTTGGATTAGACAGTGTTCTCTTCACTTGACGGGGACAGCATTATAATTCAAACATGCAAAGCAACTCTCGTGTGGACAAAATTAATAATTAGAGCAATTACCAATAGCATCTAGAACCATATTTTTCCTTGTCAATAATTTTTGCTCTGGTTGTTATTCGTTTTTAGCGCTCAAAAGCTGACAAGAAGCACTTATCCACGAGCAAATAGGAGCCAGAGTGGTTTCTGTGAAACACCACCAATTGAGCAGCAGGAGGCGTCTTTGTTGAGAGACAAAGCATCTTTTAATAATACATGTTATTTATCACTTTTCCTGGCTTCGAAGATGCTTTACAAGCAAGTAAAGAAAAAAAGAAATGGCTGCTCTTTGCAGCCATGACACATGAATCTACAGCTCTGCTTAAAGACTGGGACGTGGGGGAGGGGCTGAACATCACCCATCTTACTCCTGGGCCCTCGAACGCACACACAGTCAAACCGCTAGCATTTCAGATAAACACTGGAATAACAGACTGTGAATGCATGCACCGATGAAGGCATAAATAAAAAGACAAACAATCACATGATGCATCCACGCACACACACTCATACACACAAACGCTAACATTGGTCTAAATGACCTTGCATCACACTCGCCAGTTCACCATGAGGCTCAACAACAGTTTACACTTCAATATTGATCAAGACACTGAAGTACAGCGAGATAAGCTTATTGTTGACTGGCATTTTATGATTTCTTCCTTGTGTTTATTGCATTTTTTGTATCTTGTCTTTAATATTAGACATTAAACAAAAAATAAGCACTATGCAAACTGGGTAATTGACTTGACATATACACAGGTACTGTTTCTTCCGCCATGCTAAGTGCTCTTTGAAACTGTATTTAGCGAAATACTAACTTCAGTATTCTAACATGCTTGTAATGACAACAGTTGCATTCTGATGTTTAACAGGTTTAGCATTTACCATGTTAACCGTTTTATCTTGGCATGTTATGGTGCGAGTATTTCCAATCTAAATTAGCACTAAACATTTAGTACAGCTGATGTTGAGGGGAATATGATTGGCTGTGAAGATTATTCGTTCATAAACCAAAGTATTGCATACATTGAAATGTTGAGCTTACGATGGTGCTTTATAAAAAGTCTGAATCAACAAAAGATTACAATAAATACTGTGGAGATATGAATTGTTTGGACCTATGGCAATATATCCAATATGCTAGAGTTAAAGTCAGGGGAGTCAAAACATGACTTCTTTACTTTCTTTCTCAGACTGAAATAAGTCCTCTCTCCTAACAGAGAGTTATGTAACCAACCAGATACCCTCTATTTATTCTGATACATTACGAACACTAAAAAGGGCAGCAGCAGTAGTGCATGGCACCCTGAGGTGGAACACACACACACACACACACACACACACACACACACACACACACACACACACACACACACACACCACACACACACACACACACACACACACACACACACACACACACACACACACACACACACACACACACACACACACACACACACACACACACACACACACACCAACTTATTCAATGTGACAGTGTTACCATTAACTCCTGCAGGCCATACTACTGTTTGGTCTCACTCTCTGTCTGTGAGAGCACGCACACGCACACACGCACACACACACACACGCAAACACACGCACACACACACAACACACACACACACACACACACACACACACACACACACACACACACACACACACACACACACACACACACACACAGCACTCCTGACGGGAAATGTTCCAACTCGCAGCCAAGCTCCTGAGGAGAAACAATGCCCAAAATGCATTTTATCATAATGAACAAGTTGAGGAATTAATAAAAGGACCAGCATCAATGTCACTTGCAGGCCCCGGCTTTAATATGGACTCATGACCCATAACAGACAGCATACCAATAATACACTGAAGCAGCATTAATCCTCTGAGGTATGTGCACAAGTTGGAAACACATTACAACACAGAGCCTCCTATTACTACAAAAGGAGATGCAAACATTATTATTTGAGTCATGCCTCTCTGGGAATTAGCTGTGTGAAGCTGAACAAATGCTGAATGAGAGTCAGCATGTCTCCAGATATTGTCATCTATGTCGGATATGAACATCAAACACAGTGACCCATTTCCTCCTGGCTGCCCACAGGTGTGAGAGCACGGCCTGTCTTCCACTAACAGACAGTGCACCCGACTTTTGTGACATGACAGTGAGTGTGTATCAGTATCAATGATGCTGATAGCTGGTATTCTCTGTCCTAGTCAAGTTTGCGCACTTTTATGCCAAAAACAGCAAACATTTACAGAGAAGTAGTCCATTTACTTCAATTTTGACTTTTGCCGGTTTGGTAAATCCTCTCAAACAGCATATATGTGTTAGGGGACCATGAAACTCACAGTGAAGACTAGAATGTTTAAAAACAGAATGGCGAATCAAACAAGTAACCAGAAAGTGAATGAAAATACATTCGGCCAAAATTCTTTTTTTAAATGTTAAATGTTTTCCTGTTATCTTGAAGGGGCCTCCATTAGATCAGAAATGAACAACACAAGTTAACTGATATTTAATGTTGAATAAAATGTCTATTTGATTGATTTACTGTGACATCTGTAGCACCACGAAAACCCATTTCCAGAATGTAATAATGTTTTAAGGGTCTTTGCAAAATCTATAGAGGTAATGTGTTATGTCTGCTTGTTAAAAAACAAAGCTGTGAAAATAATATGAAGTGTTAAATGGACTGTATTGATATAGCGGTTTATCCAGTCTTTACGACCCCTCAAAGCGCTTTGCATTTCAATCAAACCCCATTCATACAGAGCAGTGTGTCACTTGCTCGAGGAAGCACACACACCCTGGGCAATGGCATCGGGAGCAACTTAAGTATCCTGCCCAAGGATACATCGACATGGATGTAGCCCCCGACTGCAGGGGCTGGGATCGAACCCAAAACCTTCTAACTAAAAGACGACCGTACTTCCAGTGGTGAATTGGTCCTTGTTATATCATGTTCTCAAGTAAATACCTTAATAACTGAATGGAACTTCTAATATACACCATCAATCTTAACTTTTATAAAATGTTTTGATTCCTAAAACACAAATAGAACTATGTTTCTATGCTGTTACACTTAGTTGTATTTGATGGAACTATTTATGTATATATTCAAGTGGCCTTAATGTTGCAAATTAGGCTGGATTTGAAGGACCCAAGGATTATTGTAATAAAGATGTTTTATTTATGGGTTATTAAGCAATCTAAAACCCATTTGCTTTCGCCCCCTTGTTCTTACACAATATAAGCATTGAGTGATGCATAGGAATGCTGAGTATAAGCTTTGAGTCAGAGGTATTGTGTGTTATGTCATAGCTCGAGGTATATAGGCTGTGCACTGACGTGTCCATTCATCTCTTTATTCACAGTCATTACCACGGCGGATGCGTCTGTGAATCAGCTGAGCGCCTCCGCCCTGTCACACACACAGCTGTGTGACCGCTGACTGCATGTCTCTGTGTGTCCATGCCTATGTCATGCTACACTCCATCCCTTCCTCTCTGAAATGATGGATTATTATTGAAACAGGTCAGGCATGCTAGATCACTCAGATATGCCTTTTATGCTCCGATGGTTTTCTTATTTGAACGTCACTACACAAAAGCAGAGGGAAAAACTGACTTCATATAACGTAAGACTGGCTGTTAAAGGATAAAAGTTCAATATTAATGTTCACTTTGGTTTGCATTACCAGAATCGCAAAGATACTACACATGAGAATATGTTTTAATCAAGTGTTTTTAGAAATATTCCTCTTTTTAATAAAGCATGGTGTAATGGAACCCTCAATAGACATTGGTATGTCTTTTCATCTCTCAACTCTTTATGTATGTAAAACAACGGTTACTGGACAATCAAACATGCTGTCATAAACTGATTTTCCTAATAGTCTGTGCCTATTCATTTTAATGTATGTCTTTTAAGTCTTTAGTGTATTTATGGGTTTGTATTTTTGTGCTTTTGATGGTGCATATGTGCTTAAATTAATGTGCTTTTGTGATAATATGCCATTCCAGGGACTGCAGATGAAAATAGCCTTTATGTCTCCTCTTAAATAAATAAATACAAATACAAAATGTGACTATGAACTATAGGCACTACAGCTCCACAATACTCAACCACAGAGTCATGTTGATTGCTGGGGTGGGTCGCATGTACAGTACAGTAAGGTCGCAGTGCTAAATCTTCTAAAGCGGTGCCTTGCTGCTCTGTGCCTCATGTAAAGGTCAGTGATCATCTGTGACCTTTCATTAGAGGGGAGTTCCCTGTGCAGTGGGTTCACGCTGTGTTTTTAAATAAGACTTGAAAAAGCAAAGGCATATGCATTCATCATACCAAGATGATAAAGATAAGAACCCACCTCTTTGGCACTTCTGATCTTCTCCAGGAAAGTACCCAGCTCCCTGGTTTCTGTGTAGAGAGCCCGGCACACGGCCTGGTAGTGACCGGGGACGTCCGACAGACTGGGGAGGTGGGATGTGCACAGCTGGAAGAGAGAAAAAACTGTTTGTAGTACATAGTTTATTTATCATAAACACAACAGGGATCAAGGAGAAAGCATTAAGTGCAACTTATTTTATTTTTGTAAACCCATGAGCTGATCAATATCCATGTTATTTTGATATATCAATGAAGAAACTTAGTAAAGCACATTCAGGTTATGTAAAGCAATCGTTTATTCTTGGTCAACATTATCTGTGTTATTCCTAAATTATGAGGGTCATTTGAATCGTGGCTTGTTAGCTAACAATGCTAATCAGAACAGCTGTTGGTCAACTGAGTCTCTCCCCTCCAGAAACACGGTTGCCTAGGAGAAGTAATAAGACAAAGGGAACTACATTTGAGCTGCCTGCAACTAACTTATTTATCCATCTGTTCAATTTGTTTTCTGTAAATCCAATCATGAAAGGGTCCATCAAATGTCACAAAAATGTTGAACGTTTTAGCTTTCTATTATTTAGCTTTTTTCAACCAGCAGCTTCAAACCAGATTGCAATCATAAAGAAACTAGCAAATATTCAAATGCAATATGCTGAAAACAGAGACGGCGAGCATTAATATCAATCAACTCATTTATAGAGTCATTGTTGCAGCTCTACCCATTGTTCTGCATCGCAGCAACCCAGACCCGGCGGCAGACATACGTCTCTGGGCAGCCTTTCATTCAGAATTTCATAGCAAAATAAATAAATGATATTAAACTAATCTTTCAACATAGTTTAAAACAAAAATAAATATTAGGACAGAGCCCTAAAAATAAAAACCATAAACATAATAATAAAACAATTAAAATGTTGTATTCAGCCCTGATTAATACTGCGGGCCCAAATCCTGGATGCAACCTCAATTAAGGAGCAATTCTTGTTATCAGTGTCTTCTTGATTGCTCCCAGTGTTCAGACTTAAGCAAAACAAATCATTTAATGTAACTGTTTTTATTTACTTCGGACTACGTCAGAATTTTTCCATGACTCCTCTGCACTGCTAGAATATGATATTGTTTATTATTTTTCATACTCTAAGTACATTTAGCTGAATACAGTTTCATTCTTTTACTTTACTTGTAGTGGATTATTTTCCCACAGGGCTACTTTGACTAAACTAAAGAATCTCAATACTTCCTTTACCACTGTCAAACTGTGTTTAGCCTTGCTAATGGTTCTCAGGGACCCTGCAAAAAAACGAAATACCGCAAAAACAGACGTTTGTAAACAACTGTTATTGACTGCAGAACACAATTGACAGGGCACTAAAAGCAGCCGTGATGACAGAATACGTCCTCTAATGTCACTCAGAACAGAATGTACCCATGGCCAATGCTCGGCATGCTCTTTGCATCCAGACAGCCGTCTCTGCAGAAAGTGTATCCTATATCCTCATCACAAGTGGGTGAAAAATTGATGCTGTATCCAATGTGTTTTTTTTACAGCATATCTGGTCAGGACAAAGGGTACACTGAGGGAGCACACAGAGGGACGGTCATAGGGTGAAAACACAGAGACAACAATTGGAACTGACAGCTAGCTAGCCATCAGGCCAGCCAGACTGTCACACTGCTGAGATACCTCGTAGATCACTGTGTGTGTGTGTGGTGTGTGTGTGTGTGTGTGTGTGTGTGTGTGTGTGTGTGTGTGTGTGTGTGTGTGTGTGTGTGTGTGTGTGTGTGTGGCGATGTGAGGTGTGTTTTCGTTGGACAACAGTGATACATGACTCCCAGCATGGAGGAGGCTGGCAGCCAGACTGCACTGTGATTCTAATCTCAGTGCTCAGAGCCATGTTTAACATTTTCATTTTCACACTCAAATGTTTTCCTGAAAATCAGTTACCCTCGCTGATAGGATCTGTACCAGGAATTCATCAGTGAATATGTTTAGTCTATTAATGTTTTTCCTTTTTAAGTTACTTTATACTTTATCTCCACCGATTCTAATTTCTATAATAGTTCTTACTTCAACAGATTTAACTGTTATTTTTGTCTGAAACATAAAAACACAAATATAATAGGCATTATCATATAATAACTACCCATCAGTATATAGAAGTTCACTTTAAATGATATATACCACCCTAAAGTATCAATTGTGCTTAATCTATATCTGAAATGTAATTAATTAACAATGACATTTTGCTGAAAATACTTCTGTACTTCCTCTACAGCATTATTTACTTCCAACTGTTGGATTAGTCCTTTAATTTACAACAAGGAAATGGTTGGTAAATGGGGGGAATATTCCAACAAGCTAAAATAATGCACATTTCAGATTAGCTATGGTATGGATTTATAAAGTGGATTAAAAAAAGCAAAAAATAGTCATTCGTCTGGCAACCCAACACTGTATTCACTCGCCTTTTTGCTATAGTTAGGTCTCCAACAACAACAAAAAAAAGAGTATCTGGCCCTTTAGCTGCTACTTTGTTTACTATGTTCACGTACAAGTCCCTGTCACGATCTGTCTGTGATTCCTGTTTTATTTAGAAAATAATTGTGTGATGTGAACTGTGTGATGTGTGTGTGACTGTTTTGTTAGCCTCACTCTGCTCTGTTCTGGTGGATGAATGACTATTAAAAGATATCCTGTGTCCTGCCCTTGGATCCAAACTGCTCTGCTCGCCAGAATTGTTATCTAGCTTTTAGCCGTTTGGTGCTCGGCAGGTAGCAGTGCTCTTTCAGTTGAGGCAGCTGCATGCTGCCAACAACAGATGAGACTGGGTAGACTGATACAAAACTGAATTGTTGCAGGCTTTAAAAAACACAACAAGGAGCTTAAACATGCTAAAATAGTATGGAAAGCTGGGTTTGGTGATACCTTATTTTGAATCTCCCTGATATCATGATTACACCTGCCCCTGCATGGATTGAAGTGCTAGTATTGTCCAGTCATCAATGCTTGCACAATTTACCGGTAACCTGATTTGTTCATGGCCTATGTACTGACCAATGGACTATCCTGACCCTAACCACTCCGGGTTAATGCTTAACTTCAATTAGCTTTGCAGGGAATGTTGTGCAAATGAAAGCATTGGGATTCATTTTTACGCTTAGGTGACACATTTAGCCACAGATTGAACATAAAGCATAGTTTTTTCATAATGTGTTACTTTAAACGTGCAGCTTTAAATGCGAAAACTATTCCAATGCAATATCTGTCTTAAACAGAAAAAGTACGTGTTTTACATCTCCAGCAATAGCAACAAGGATTTGTTTGCAGTCAGTCAAAACATCCTGGTAGTTAGCGTTAGTATAATGTAAATAGCCAACAATAGCTGAACAACAGAATAGATACCAGCAGTCACTCACTCAGCTACTGTGTACATACCTTGAGGATATCTCTGTAGCCGTGGACGCTGCAGATGTTGTCAGGATCATCCTCGGGCTCATCCTCTTCCTCTGTTGCCTCGTAGCCCTCGTCGGGGCAGGCGTCCCTCTCGGCCTCGGCCATGTTGGTCATGAGGTCGATGAGCTGCTCCAGAGGAGGGCTGAGCTCCCTCTCCTCGTTCTCCTTCAGCCCGTAATCCAGAGCCTTGTAGATCATGATGCCCAGAGACTCGATCACCTGAAGGAGCATGGGAGAAAAAAGCACTCAGTGTCCATACATTTTCAACTGTCTTGCTTTCATCTGTTAAGTATTAAATATATGAACATAATGTTACTTCCAACAATTGTTTTTGCCTACAATACAATGCAAATCACACAGTGCAACAAAGGTCCAATTAAATAACTTGCGTCTGATGATAAAGATGGATGTTTGTATATTAAGCAAGCATACAATCATTTTTGAAAAATGCATAATATTTTTTTCCTGCTAATTGTTCTGTTCTTCACCTGTCACATGAACAAACAAACATGGATTTCTGTCTTTGTTCTACAATATGATCCTCTATTTTGTGCCAAGCCTGAGCTTCAACAACTGTATGAAGTGACCTGATGACTCGACCTTTGAGGAGAGAGCTCCCTCCGTCATTCATAAGCACACACAAACACACACTGGCCTGGAGAGGCTGCCGCTGGGGGCCGATTACTGAAAGTAGATCTTGTGATTAACTGACGCATTGAAAAACGAGAACACCATCATCACATCACACATGTCCTCATGTGGATAGTCAGTCTTTTAAAGGAGGAAGGAGTATGTAATTCTGAGAGGTCAGCTGTAGTTTGAGACTCATTCTAGACTTTCAGGACTTAAATGATACTCCAGACAGTTTTAGCATTAAATAAGTACAATGTAGGCTTGGAAGGTGGCTATATTTAAGAAGAAAACAGCGCATCATCACATCATTCCTGACTTGTTATGCTTAACATACTTTTTGCACAGCCACAATACCTTAAGCTTAGCAACCATTATAAAGCATTAACAACAAGCATATCTATGTTTTTTTATGGTCCTTTTGATATTTTATATCTGCCGTGAAAACTATTGTCTTTGCTTTGGCAGAATTAACTGACGTGTTGGCCACTTTGGAAAAAAGTGGAGAGTCACGATGGATGAGGGCAGCAATGTCAAAGCCAAGACAAAAGACAAAAGACGGAAATCACACAGGGGATTATTCTGCAGCCCTGCACCCAGAGAAAAGACTGAGAGGGAGCGAGACAGCAAATAAAACACAGACAGAAAAGCAACTGTGAGAAAGGGGATGCAGGACGGAGGGACAGAGACAAGGATCAGAGACAGAGAGGTATCAGGAGACAGGAAAATAAGAAGTGAATGAGAGGGTGAGAGTCATTGAATGGTTCAGAGAGGTCAAGGAGGGCGGAGAAAGGGGAGACATCAAGAGAAACAGAATCGTGTGTGTGTGTGTGTGTGTGTATATTGTTCTGTCTCAGCTAGTATTGGGAGCTTAGCCGTGTGGAGAAGGAGGTGCTATGTGTACCCTTGTGTACCCTGCTGTGTAGCCTGCTCAGCCCCGATATATTTGATTCCCTGTCTATGTATTATAATTTGTGGAACCAAATAAAGTATTCAAATGTGTATGTATGTGTATGTGTGTGTGTGTGTGTGTGTGTGTGTGTGTGTGTGTGTGTGTGTGTGTGTGTGTGTGTGTGTGTGTGTGTGTGTGTGTGTGTGTGTGTGTGTGTGTGTGTGTGAGGAAGGAGGAGTGTCCTCCTCTCCCCCATCAGTGCGTAAGAGATGGATTTCCTCAGGGGGGTTCGGCTGAATGTCACCTCTTTGTCTAAGCTCTGATATATGACACCATGCAATACACACACACACACACAGACACATACACAGACACACCACGCACAAAAATGGCAGCAAATGCAAACATATTCCTCCAGGGAGCTGCTGTAACCTCAGGCTGAGAGATCCTTCTCAGTGGAGCATGTTGTCTGTAGACAATGAGACAGATATGAAATGTTCTGACCTGTCAAGCAGCTAATGGTTTTATATTTTAAAGTATGATCTGGTATGGATTTTCAGGCTCCCGTTTCTTATCTGCAGCTTATCTACAAACCATGTCTTCAAGAATTCAGTCAAAGACTGTCACAGTATCTGATCCGCAAAAGGAGAATCACTCAAACGGATGGAATAAATAAAAGGCTGCGCAGATGGGTTTGACAATTTTTTCCCCCTTTCATTTGGAAACATTACAAAAATGGTTATTTTGTATTTAGCAGATGTCAATCTAACAACTGAAGTCAATCAAATAGAATTAAAAACATCTACCTTAATGGGATCTAAGGCATCAAATGGCTACTTTTTCAAATGTATTATTTCTCTTTCATGCTCTTTTCCCTTGGTTTAACTCGTATTCAAGACCTTTTATCACTCAGTTAATGACAACAAAATGTGCCTTGGGTACACAAACATACGTTTAATATTAGTAAATATAACATAAAGTTTGGGCCCAATATTAGCAACGGAATGTCGATTCTCCAATATTTTACAACCATGGCCTTCTTGTATAGGTGGTCCTCCAATTACATTTTTGATGAGAGGAGTAAAAAGGGTGTCGTCACTTAAAGAAATATCTGCAGCCATTGAAAAACATTGAATGTAATGTATGCCTTATTATTATTTCTTTTTAGGGCCTTTAATAAAATCGTTAAACTTGACTCCTGACTTAGGAGTCAAGTCTGCTCCTCTAACAGTTTAGGAGTCCTACTCCTGACACATTTATTTCTAGAAAAAGAATACCCTCAATTCAATAATCCAAGGTTACAAGACATCACATGTTATCTTGTTATCTTGTTTGGTCAGATAGCATGTGCTGCATGAATAACGTGTGTGCATGTGTTGATATGATTCATAAGTAAAACAAACCTATGAAGAAGTAATGTTGGCCTTCTGGGGAGAACGCATTGGTTTGACTGTTGCAGACCAAATTAGATATGCTATTGACCGATGTTCCATTCTTTGAGATACAAAACAATAAAAATGATCACTAAAAAATATGTGAGCCTGTTTGATTCATTTCTTACACATTCCTCACAAATAATGAACCTAAAACTATGACTGATTGTAATTCATAATTCCTTGTGACAGGCTAAAGCAAACATGTCTCCATCCTACTTAGAAATCTCCCTGACTGGTTTCCAGGCGACCAAGCAGAATGATGGGATGGAAGGGAGGAAGGGGTGCATAGGAGGCGGAGAGGAAAAGAGGATAAGAAAGTGGGGCGAGGATGTCAACTGAAGCAGATTTGCCAGTGCAGCAAAGTGCAGCAGTGGCCATCATCACAGGCAAGAATAACATCAAACAGCTTGGCTTACATTTCAGCATTCATGTCACGGAGACATGCCGAGCTTGCCAGAATAAAAACCATTGTGACGCACACGGAAATAGTTTTACAAAGCCACTTTATCACTGCAAACACCTCAAAACCTTACCTGAACTTAGTCCTGATAAGTAATGGCTTCCTGATACAACTGATCGGATTAAGAGTAAAATCTTGTGCTAACAAAGCACAAATGTAATTCATTCTTCACACTTTTCCAAAATCATGAAACACTGGGAGGATAATGGCAATGAATGTAATGATGGTTTTCACATAAATGTAGTTCTTCCTTTGTTATCTCCTTACTGGCTTCAAATTCTTCCTCATACATGTATGTCACATTAAAGGCCCCTATACCTCTACTGCCAATATCCATCTACCATTCACCAATATGTCTACTATTTTCTATATTATATAAGGGGACATGTGCATGTTATGTCCAAGTGTCGGTTTTAGATCCATTCAAGGTTGAATTTCTCTTCAGCTTGCAAAATGAGCTGTAGTAAATGAGCTCAGGTATAAATAGGCTACAGAACAGCAACACAATATGATATGACAGCAGAGCGTTTTGTTGACAAGAGGACATGTAACATCTAGACCTTGTTCAGTGCATCACAAATGTATAATAGCAGTATCTGGGTAAATATAGCCAGGGGTCTTTTGACATTCATACACAGCGATGCTGGTCTTTTGTCTTGTCTTTTTTACAGTGAGAAGCCTAGTGTGACAATAAAACAAAGCTAAGACCTATCCGACTTAATCGGCTGTTTTATAATGATTAAATCTGCCAACCCCCACAAATTGTGCAAGATGGATCCATGACCTAACATAATGAGCAGATGGTTAAGAAGTTACACTTTTAATGTTGATTAACTAAAGTTAAAGTTAAAGCCTTTTATTGTCATTATACAAAAAGTACAACGAGATTCAGAGTGTAACTCTGTCCCAGTGGGCAAAAACTAGACTTACATAACATTAAAAACACGGCAGTAGGACAGACAACATAAGCAATCATACGGGGGGAATAAATAGTTAAAAATATTGATATAAAAATAGTTTATAATTTTTAAAGTGCATTCAAAGTGTGTATATGTGTGGAGATGGTTACGGTCAGTGGTGTAGTGGGCGTTGGACGCGGGGGTACGCCGTAACCCCGCTTATTTGGAGCATGATCTTATTTTTAATAGTCTAATACATAAAATAATAGTGTTATCAGTTGCAAGTGTGTATTTGTTGTAATAATGACAAAAACATAATACATTTCACAGTAATTATAATACAAAATAAAAACGATTTCCTTAAAAAATTATGATTCATCATCACGCTCGTGACCCCGCGGCGAGCTGGGGGTGTGTCACACTTTGGGCTGCAAAGTTTGTTCATCCATTTCGGATTTATCAGTCTTCAAAACGCAAGGTGTTTTCTCTCACACAGAGAGAGACAGCGCTGTCTGCTTAGTTGCAATACTGTAGCTTATGCAACTTAGGCCTATACATTATTTATGTAACTTATGTGCCAGTGTGTCCATGGTTTTGAGTATGTGTGTGTGTTGAGCGCAGCGCCGTCTGCTTTTTGCAGTACAGTAACTAAAGTAGGACTAAGCATACCGGTAGTTTCTGTGAACCTGTCTGCCCGTTTTGTGAGTGCACTGCGCGCGTGCGCACTTGTGTGGCATTGTTTGGGATGACCTAATTAAAATGGCGTCCCCCCAGTAAAAATATCCCCACTACACCACTGGTTACGGTTATTGCATTAAGTGTGGTGGTTAAGCAGCCTGACGGCCCAGAGGTAGAAACTGTTTTTGAGTCTGTGGCCGTTTCTCAATCTCGAGGATACTGGC